AGGGTCCGAAGATCCGAAGCGAGGGTCCGAGGGTCCGAAGGTCCGCAAACAGCTCCTTTTTACCGGTTTTTCGACTACGACTTCGTTTTAACTCCGTTTTTCATTATTTTAACGTGGGATTTTCACCCAAAACTTTATTTTATAAACTAAGGCCCCAAAATATATAAATCTCCAGGGTTTTTATAAAATATATTAAAAGAATTGGTGATTGAACTAATTATTGAGGGAATATTTGCTTTTCCTTAATTTATGGCAAAAGCAAACCACTACCACCTCACTCTATGATTAGCCACTCTTTCCCACTACCCCTTGTCTCCTTAGTGGACCTTTACAGCCAATCTCCAGCTCTTCCCACGTTCTAAGAGCTGGAGGATTGATCCTCTCTCCTCATTCTCCATAAAACTCTTTCATTCTACACTTAGCAACCAAGAACACTCTCCAAAATTCTCTCATCTTTTCTCTTAACTTCAAGAACTTCAAGGCTTTCTCCAGGGATTTCTTTCTTCAATTAGTAAGTATCTTCATCATTCACATAATTATTAAACTCCATTCTACTCAAATCATTGATATCTTACACAAGTTCCATCTTATTCGGTGTTAGATTCTCGAATCATCAAGACATCTTCTTAGTGTTCTTGAGTTGAACACTTCCTCTCTCTCACTTTCATCTACTGAAACCACATAAGGTGAGTTCATACCCATACATTTACATGTTTTTCTTAAGTTTTAAGGGGGGAATACAAGTAAAATCATCAAGAACACAATTAAACTTTTTCTAACAGATTACATCAGAAAAGATGGACGTTAATCACGGACTGTTTTGGTCAACTTAAATATTTTAGTTTTCAAAACTGTTTCAGGTGCAAGTAGTTCAAACTCTTAGCTTTAAAATGACTACTTGCACATCTCCATATGATTTTTCTACAATTTATGGTGATTTTTACAAAACTGCCTGTCATTTCAGAGGCAAACCCGGACCAGTCTGTGATTATGAACCTTTTCACCTCTGTTAGAGATCACTAAAAATCATGATAAAATTTACGAACAAACTAGACTCATATTCCAAACTCTCAAAATTTGCGGATTTGGATTTAGAGCTTTGATGATTTTTCTATAAATTTTCTAAGAACGGTAACAGAAACTGTTTTTAACGAAAAGTTGCTGTTAATTTCATTTCACCTTGTAACATGTTGAGCAAGGTGTATATCTTTATGTGATTATATGTTACTGCAATATATGACATTTTATCTTAATATTTAGACACACATCAGTTTACAAATGGATTTGGTCATATAAAATATAAAGAATAACAAGTGATTATAATCAAAGTACAATCGATACATTCAAACATTAAATAAACTATTTTGAATATAGTTTGCATACATTACCACGTACTACCCTTGGTTGATAAACTATAATAGGTATAGTTTATGATACATTACATAACACATACATTTAAAAAGGGTACATTTATACAAAGGATATTTTCATTAAGCAAGGTACGGCCATACGGTACCAAGTTTTCATAACACGTAATTCCGTTAATGACTTTGTGAGACATTTACTTCAAATTACCATTAAGTCCTGTATTGTAACCAGAGTCTCCTTGAGGGAGAGCGTGATACTTGTGTATAGATCTATATTGGGTTTGACAAACCCACACCTAAACTGCATGCAACAGTTAGACCGATAGGTCTGGGGTGACAAATGTCATAACATTTCCGACGCCTGAAGAACGTCGTTTTAGGCAACCTTGGTCATAGTATGGTTATAATAAACTCACATAAAGTATTAACAAACATTGGAATTTACGGGGACTTCATTAAAATTTAACGAGTTTATGTCGATTTAAACTTGCATTGTTTTACTATAAATATGACAAATTACTTGTACATTTCGGTCTTTGGGTTTTAAGACTACATTTACACATTAAGGAAAATATTGGATTTTTCTAACACAAATACTACTTTTACAAACGAAAAGCTTATGAACTCACCAACCTTTGTGTTGACACTTTTTCAAACAACTTGTATTCTCAGGAAATCATTAAACAGGTAATCAAGTGCTTTTGAGGATGGGACGCTAAGGCGTCTACTATTTCATATTTTATCAACATATTGTAATTGATTCGTAAACATGTAATTCATACAATGATGTAATTTTTTTCAATTATATATATGTTGGTTGTGTTTGCTTAAATTACTATTACAATTGCTGTTATGATACTATACATGAAGTCCTCCACCCCCGGACGTTTCCGCCATCCTTGGTTTGGGGGTGTGACAAAAAAAATCAGAGAGAATCATAAAAACGAACTTGCAAAGAAGGTTAAGACCAATGATGGGAAAGGAGAAACTAGTGCAAACCCAGTAGACCTTAATGAGTAGGGAGTATTTTATGGTGTCATGTGGTTATGTTTGACAAAAAGTTGTAGTTGTTTGGTTTGGCATTTAGTTGTTTGTTTGAAGTTAGTTTGTTTGGTTTGACAATGGTTTGTACTATTATCATGCTTTGGTTATCCTTTGATATTAATAGTTTTCAACATGCATGCATGTAATTCCATGATGTATCATGTGGTCCTTGTGTTCTTAGTGGACAAATATACAATTATTGTTAACAATTTTTAATGCTATTTAGCAACGTAGTATATGTAATTAAAAAAGTGAAGGGTAATGACATGTAATTCCAACATTTAAGAACATGTGGTCCTTGTGTTCTTAGTGGACAAATATACAATAATTGTTAACAATTTTAATATGCCTTTTAGCCAACGTACTATATGTAATGACATTAAGGGTGACATAATTTCACCAAATATACAATTATTGTTAACAATTTTTAATGCTATTTAGCAACATAGTATATGTAATTAAAGAAGTGAAGGGTAATGACATGTAATTCCAAAATTTAAGAACATGTGGTCCTTGTGTTCTCAGTGGACAAATATACAATAAGTGTTAACAACTTTAATATGCCTTTTAGCAATGTACTATATGTAATGACATTAAGGGTGGCATGATTTCACAAAATTAAGGGTAATGACAAGACAACAATACATCAATGTGACATCACACAACTACAAATTGTTCTTAATTCAACTACCCAAATACATTTGATTACAAGTTATAAATGATTAAACCTAAAAAAACCCAACTACAAAGTAAAATCAGCTTCAACTTCAACACTTCTGATTCCAGCTTCTTCTTCGACCTCATCAGTACACTTAAAATGATTTATTCATTGTTGCATTTTTTTTCATCAACCCAAGAAATGAAACCTGATCGGGCTCCCTAAATAAGAAATTAATGTTACATTTAGAAAACAATTGTGAAACTAGGGTTCTAAAAATATGATTGCATTTACCTTGTTTGGACATGTATAAAATGGTCTTCCAGGGTTAGTGTCAGTCCGAGATGTGCGGATTATTGTCGGACTTCCACACCCACAAACAATCTTCATCTTGTCGAATTTTGTTGGATCTCACTCGGCAGTTGATTTGAAAGAGACAAGAAAAAATGAAAGAGTTGCCCTTTTGAATGAGACACCCCTTTTTACAACCATTATGAACATAAAATGACAAAACTACCCTCACCGTGCAAGGCACGTGGGGTTTAATAACCCAACATATGTTCTGTTCTTCGTTCTTGCATGATATGTCAACCAAAATCAAAGTGTTCATACAGTCAAACATGAGATACAAAACGCCTGAGATCAACTCAGGTATTTTTCCATTAAGAAGCTTAACAAACGTACAAAATGCCTGTCATCAACACATGACTTTTCACATAATCCATAGATAGCACACAAAAAAAAAGAAAAAAAAAAACAATAACAGAAAACCTAAAACTATTATATATATATGCATCGTAATGTACCCCCAACAACTTATCCAAGCTTCATAAGGACTTTGACCCCAACCTCCATCATCCCAAGCATTACCACCATGATGCTGCCCATCACCACATCAATCGCTTTTAACTACCTGTCATGATCTTCCAACTTATGCTGGAGACTGATGTGATCAACACGGCACACAATGAAATCTTTACCCAGCTGATCTTTGAGCCTTTGCATCTTGATCTGGTTGGCAACAATCTTGTATCCACAGTCGCAAACAATGGTATGCAGGTCGTTGAGGTTGAGAAACTCCCGTGAATTTATCGAGTCAGGTGAAGGAGGTGGTGGAGCCGACATTGCCAATATTTAGGGTTTTGGTCGGAATCGTGTTTGCCCAATTAAGGTAAAAAAGCCTCGAGAATATGCTAGGTTAAGCCCCACGGGTTTGTGATGGTGCTTTATGCCCCTACCACCGACGATTCCTTTTCCTCTAAGGGTGGTTAGTGGGTAGGTAACAGTTAATGAAGGTATTAAACCGGATTAGGTGGAAGACTAGTCCACCTGTCTATGACTCGATGCTGAGTCACCCGCTTAGTTGGCACTCCACACAGTAGTATTACCTTCAAATGTGGGTTAAAGTACCAAAGTGACCGGTCATTTACAAGTACACGCTCTTTAAATGCAAAAAATAGTCATGAGGGACCATTTAAACCAAAATACGAAAGATAGTTGGGCTACAGTAACAATTTCACTATTTCAAAAAGTAAAGGTGCACTTGATTATGGAAAAAATTCTAGTTTCTTCATAAAAAATTTCAAATGAATAAAAAACTTTTAAAAACACGTTTGGTGATTTAGTTTTTAAAAAATCAAAGAAAATAAAAATCTTCTTTTTTCAAAACTTTATATAAATTAGAAAAATATTTTTTCAAAGTTATCCAAATTTTCTAAATTTGTAAAATAAAAATAAAAACTCTCGAGGTTTCAACAAACATATTTTCTAATTTTTTTTTATGGAAAACTAAAAATAAAAATATTTTTCGACAAACTAAAATAAAAAAATCAATTTTATATTCTGAAAATATATAAAAAAAAAGTTTTCAACAAACCCTAAATGTTTTCGTTAAAAATATATAATAAAATATCAAGCGATGCCAACCCGAAATTCATAAGAAAGCCTAAACCTCTGAATTCTTTACACAATTTTCTGCTTCTACAGTCTTTCAGCAGCGACGCCCAACATCTCGCCGTTTATCTGCTAGTAACTTCTCTCCCACTCTCAGATTCATCTCCTCTACTCAATTTAAAGGCATAATTTTCTTCCTTTTACTTCAGGTTTAACGACAATTCCTGATTGTTTCGTAAAACGCGTTTATCGCAGTTCAACAGATGGGTAAGGTTTTCTCTATTTCAATCAGTTTATAGTTTTGTTTTCAATCCGTTTTAATCATTGCTACATCGTTCATATCTGTTTACTTGTAGTTCAGTAATCGGATTTTCTTTTTGTATTTTGTCTGTTAATCCCTAAAATATTTGTAAAATTTAAGCGGAATACTGAACTTTTTTCTTTCTTTCAATCGCAGATAATATCGAGGAGGACATTCGCGCTTTGCAACTGGACTCATCTGGTAGGTTTCCTTGATCTGATTTCATAAGCATAAAGAGTTTTTGTAGATTCGTACTTTCTGATTTTAGGAATTGTATAACTGATCTGTAGAAGTTCTTCTAGACTTAGGATTTAGGAAGTCTCTTCTTGTAGTTATGTTTTCGGATTTTGTTTCCTTGTGGATTTGTTCTGAAAAATAGTTTCATAGTAGTACTTTCAATGGTTGAAGTATAAAGAGGATTCGGAAATACTTAAGTTTCTGTGATGTTATTATATTCTTTTGTTTAAATGCTAGGTGAAGATAGCAACATGGTGACTAATGAGAATGGTGGGGAGCATCAAGAATCCATAGCTCTGGATAAATTGGAAGAAGGTATGGAGAATCTGTTCCTTCAGTTTGGCCTTGTTCTATCCTCTTCTCTTTTCTCTCCCCTTTTATTTCAGTTGAGTCTTTCTGCCATGAATCTAAATAGCTTTTACCTTTTTGTCTGTGCAGATTTGAGGAATGAGTCACAAACCGACTCCCACATGGAGGAGGATGCTAACCCCCACACAGGGCATTCTGATCCACAAGCTGCCATTGCAGGTCTGTTATATGATACTCTTTGTTTATGTCCACGTTCCATTTAAGATGTTTGTTCTAAAGCAGAGATATGTACTTTTCTGAATTGTTTCAAGATTATCATTATCTAATTTCTCAAAAAGCATAAATCTCATTTGATTCCAGTGAAAGAGCAAGCAACTTCTGCTCCAGAACCTGTTGATGATGAGAAGAATAAGAAGAGACACTTAAATGTGGTATTCATCGGTCATGTTGGTGAGTTAATTTCTTAAGTTGTTAATTTCGTAGTGTGTATGAACTAGTTTTGATTTTGACATATTGGCTTTTGATCTAGTTATTTGTGCACTCAAACTTTTTTGGGTTTTGCATAGCATACTTGTGTTACCTCAAGTTGGCCTATGATTCTAAATCTTTTGTTCTCACATTTTCAACTTGTTCTTCATAGTTTTTGCTTTGATTTATATATGCAGTTTTGAACTCTTAATCTAATGCATATTAAAGTATTAAACACATGTTTCCATCCATCTTCATAGCTGATTATAACATGGTTTTCTTTTTGATTACATGAATCTTTACCATCAAACTATTCTCTTATGTTGTCTTCAATGACAAGTGTCCTCTTTTAGGTCATTTTTTTATCACAAGCAGTACTTCATGAAACTGTTTCTCTCTCTCATTCTTTTTCTTTGTTATATTTATTTGTTTATTTAGGCCACCATCTTAACTATCTAGGACAAAATATCTTTTAAGTTCTTTCTCACATTCAGTAGTCTTATAGCACAACAAATCAATTTTTTTAGCCACCTTAATATCTAGCTCTTGTAGTTCATCATCTGACACAAGTTTGTTTTATCATATGTGCTAAAGATGCTGGAAAATCTACCATTGGAGGACAGATACTTTACCTCAGTGGCCAAGTTGATGAGCGTACAATTCAAAAATATGAGAAAGAAGCCAAGGATAAGAGTAGAGAGAGCTGGTAAGTTGTTCTAGTCTTTTAGTAATTGGCTGCATTAATGTTTTTAACAATGTTCATTCGTCTTTTCACAATGCTGTTGTGTGGGTGGATATCTGCTTCTAATAGGACATGTTAAAATTTTCAAACTAACGGATCTTTGAAAAGCTTAAACAATACAAAGTGTTTATTATTCTAATTTGTCTAGTTTAGGATGTAATTAACAGTTGAATCTACAGATTTACACACAAATAATCATCAACTAGCAATGTTTAACAAAATATAAGACATGCTTTCTTTTGTTTCTATCATTAAGAGGCTTTCTTTTGTTTCTATCTAAGCCGATATAATGTAATCCTTTTAATTTTCCAATATAGTCAACTATTTATATTTTCTACACATTTTAAGTTCAACTCTTTAGCTTCAATCATATTGCTTCTTTAACCATTATCTTTTTAACATGGCTGCTTTAAATCCCAACCTTTCTCTTTTTTTAATCAAAGCCATGTCATCTACTTTTTGATTCCAGACTTCCTTTTTAAACAAATCAACATATTAAAAAATTAATCTTTATAACAAGACAAGATTGAATCTAAACCATATTTCTAACAGGACACACCAAAATTGATTAGAGGGATGATTATAATAAAGAAAAATCCACCTAGAGATGCAACTTCATGAATGTTGGAAGAATATTTGAGTGAGTTGTGATGGATAAATAGGTCTAAAAGTTATATAACTCCTAATATTGAAAAGTGCTAATTAATGAGGAGAAAAGAGCAAAAGTATACTGAAATGCTTAGTTATTTTTTTACAAGAGTCATGTTAAATGATTGATTCAATATCTTTTTTAAAACCCTACAAGTCAAGGGTCATATTTCTATGCCCCCTTTTGGACCTAGAAGAAAATTCCAAAACTACCCTTTACATACCAAATTAGGCCCAACAGAATCCTTCATTGTGAAATCTTTTGTTGCTTTTTTAGATGGTTAGGTATGATGTTAAGAATCTACTCACATAAAACAAGTTTGACAGTTTTGCCCAGGGTTTATGGAATTATTAAATTATTGTGGTTTTCACTTTTCATTGAGGTGCTTTGTTTTATTTTTCTCATGATGTTTATTATTATTATTTTTTTCACTTTTAATCCACACTAGGTACATGGCATACATTATGGATACCAATGAAGAAGAGAGAGCAAAGGTATTATTAATCTTCCTATTTCATTCCAAATGAGAAGATTTATAAATTGCTTTCAGTTATTAAATGAATAAAATTTGAGCTTCAAAATTTAACCTTGTTTAAGTCTCATGCTTACCATATGAATTTTTATAATGTTAAAATTTCATTTCAGGGGAAAACAGTTGAAGTTGGACGTGCACATTTTGAGACAGAAACTACACGTTTCACCATATTGGATGCACCTGTAAGTAACTCTTTTTTCCATTATATTTTTGAAGTAGCAAAATAGAAAAGAGAATATATTATTTGTTTATACTTTATAGTCATCATGAGAAAAAAAGTGCAATTACTTAGATATCTCTCTCATTATTTCCTAAAAGGGGCTTTTAATAAAAGATGCCACTCGAGTAGTATATTTCTTGTCAAATGCAAGAAATAGCAATATGCATTCATTGATTTTTTTATTGTTATAGCATCCTACTTTCATTTATTCCTATGAAAATACCATCGATTATAGCATTTGTCATCTACATATGAACCAATTTTTACTGCTATAGTGTGGTAGATTTTTCAAAATACAGTGAAATAAATAGTTAGATATTTCAAATTTCAAAGTATAATTACTTAATAAGACAGAAACTGAAAGTACAATGTTGTAACATAGAAAGAAATAAAAGTAGGATGCTGTAATATGCAAATAAATGTAAGTAAGTTGCTGTTTTTTTTTTTTTTTTTTTTTTTTTGCATTTATCCCTTCAGTTTTAAATGTCAAGTATGATTCTCATTTTCACTTTAACACACTATTTAATATTTATATGGAATTGTTTTATCTTTTAGGGGCATAAAAGTTATGTACCTAACATGATTATGGGTGCTTCTCAAGCTGACATAGGCGTACTGGTAACCTTTTTTGCTTAAAAAAAATCTTGTTATTGTTTTTTACTTTTACCTTTATTATGATAACTTAACTTAATTATATGATAACTTAAATTGTTATCACACATTATTTATTTATTAGGTCATATCTGCTCGAAAGGGGGAATTTGAAACTGGATACGAGAGAGGTGGACAAACTCGTGAACATGTTCAACTTGCAAAGACTTTGGGTGTCACTAAGCTCTTGGTTGTTGTCAATAAAATGGATGATCCAACTGTTAACTGGTCAAAAGAGAGGTGTTTTAGTCAACCATTATTATTATTTTTTTTTCTCTTTTGTATATAACAGGAATCTAATTCTTGTATTTACTAAAATACTCTGCTTGTTTTTCTAGGTATGATGAAATCGAATCGAAAATGGTTCCTTTCTTGAAATCTTCAGGCTACAATGTTAAAAAAGGTAATTTTTATTTATTTATTTATTTATTTATTTATTTTTAGACTTTTTACATATTTTTGTTAGTTATGTAGGATGCAAAATTATAATATAGTAAATGAAAGTTATTAAGAATCTTTTAGGTTGATTGAGATATAAGATGAAAGGTGTTTAGGTTGTGTTAAATAGAAGCTAATATATAGCAACACACTTTATTTTATTTGTTTATTGTGTAGCATATGACTTTAATTACAACATTATTCCTTGACAAAATCTACCTAATTATAACAATTCAAGAAAAAATACAAAGCAGTTTTCATTGCTATAATTAGGTAGATTTTTCAAAGTACAATTTCTTAAGGTTTTGCATTTAGTTTTAACTTATCCAATTCCAACCAACCTTAAGGTTTTGCAGATTTTTGGATCTAGTAAGGTTTTATAAATAATGGTAGTAATATATATATATTTTTTTTAAAAAATGGTTGCAGATATTCAGTTTCTTCCAATATCTGGTCTTTTTGGAACTAATATGCAAACAAGAATGGACAAAAAAGTATGCCCTTGGTTCAATGGTCAATGTCTCTTTGAAGCTCTTGATGTTATTGAAGTTCCTCTTCGTGATCCAACTGCTCCATTTAGGTATTATATATAAATATCTTTTCCACTTATTTTTGATCACTTTTTTCTATAGTTTCTATTAAGTGGACCATGTTGTTATTTCATTACTTTGATGTTGGACTTGGTTGTTTCTTTATTCTGTCAGTTTTTTTAAAAAATTACAGAGGGGCCATATCTGTAATTTTGTATAGAATTTTTTTTCTTTTTACACATGGACCATTCCTGAAGTTGTTTCTCAAAACAGGGACCATTTGTGTCATTCTCAAAAAGTTACAAACATGTGCCAATTGTTTCATTTTAAAAAAGTTACAAACAGTGTCCGATTCTGTCAGTTTTTAAAAAAATATACAGAGGGACCAGTTTGTAATTTTGTATTAGATGAGGATAGTTTCTCAAAACAGGGGCCAATTGTGTCATTTTAAAAAAGTTACAAACAGGGTCCGATTCTGTCGGTTGAGGGACCAGTTTGTAATTTTTTGTTAGATGAGGATAATTTCTTAAAACAGGGACCATTTGTGTCATTTTAAAAAAGTTACAAACAGGCTCCGATTCTGTCGGTTTTTAAAAAAAATGTACAGAGGGACCAGTTTGTAATTCTGTATTAGACGAGGATACTTTCTGTAACACACGAACCATTTCTGAAGCTGTTTTTCAAAATAGGGACCATTTCTGTCATTTTCTAAAAGTCACTGTTCATTGACATGACTACATGAGCTTATAAACAGTAAACACATTTCATCAAATGTTATATATAGAACGAAGTGAATTTAGATATATATATATATATATATATATATATATATATTTATTTATTTTGTAACTTGAAATTTTTAATTTTAAATATTTCAGAATGCCTATTATTGACAAGTTTAAAGACATGGGAACTGTTGTTATGGGAAAAGTAGAATCTGGTAGCATACGTGAAGGCAATAATCTTCTCATAATGCCAAACAAGGTATTCTCCATTTATTTGTGTATTAATTAATTATATTTTGATTTCTTTTGAAAATTCTACTCAATTATATTATAGCAATAGCATAGTAGTAATTGGGTAGATATTTTCAATTTCATTTTCCAAACATTAATAATAGATCTAAAAGGGCATATTTGTAAATTCGGTATGCAGGTTCAAGTGAAAGTTCTTGCTCTTTTTATGGATGAGGATAGAGTGAGGAGTGCGGGCCCCGGTGAGAATCTACGTGTCAGAGTATCTGGGATTGAAGAAGAAGACATACTTTCAGGCTTTGTTCTTTCCAGTATTGGTATTATATTATATTTTCTTCTTCTTTTCTTTCTAATATCAATAATAAATAAACATATATTTACTTTAATAAAATGAAACAAACTATTGATGTTTTTCTTTTCTTTTTTTTTTTTTTTTTTGCAGAAAAACCAATACCAGTGGTTCATGAGTTCATAGCTCAGTTGCAAATCCTTGAATTGTTGGAAAATGTATTCACCTTAAATAAATCTTTCATCTTGGATTTAATTATTATTTATTGTTTATGGATTTTTTTTCCTTTTAATTTTAGGCTATTTTCACTGCTGGATACAAAGCTATATTGCATATTCACTCTGTTGTTGAGGAATGTGAGATTATTGAGTTGATGCATCAACTTGATCCTAAAACCAGAAAACCAATGAAAAAGAAGGTGCTTTTTGTCAAAAATGGTGCTGCTGTTATTTGTCGTATTCAGGTTAGTTTTCATATTTGTCAAAAGACCCTTTTGCCCTTCTAACATATCCATTCTCTATATACTGTTCTGTTACTGTCATTTGTTGTTTATAAATTTAAATTTGTTTGAATGACATTAATTTTTATGGTTGTTTATTTAATATTTTCCCCAGGTGACTAATATGATATGCATTGAGAAATTCACAGACTTTCAACAACTTGGTCGATTTACACTCCGCTCTGAAGGTGAAAAATTATTTTTTAATATTTTTAAATTCTAAAAGGAAAAATACAAAAAAGTATTTTCACTTTCACCATTTTATCTATTTTTAGCCACTTAACTACTTTTTGTAGCGATTAAACTATTACTGTATTCTTGTAGACCATTTAAAAAACCATTTTTCCCATCATTTTATGGATTTAGCAAGTAAACTATCCTTTTTTATGATTATTAAATAATATTTCCGTTACTAAATGTGTTTTTCTTTATTTTTCCTCAATATCAAAACCAAGTAATTCAGAAAAATGTTTTTTTTTAAACAGTCAAAAAAAGTATAATGGGTTTACTCATTAACTACATCGTTTTAATGGTTTAAAAAAAATATTATTCGACACAAATCTTACCTAAATGACGTCATCAATTAAACAATTAAACAATATCTTATACAGGAAAAACAGTTGCAATTGGAAAAGTTACGGATCTTCGTGCATAAACAATTTTGAAACAGAAGGTAATTCCGTATCCAATGTTGAGTTTGATATATAAATTTCATTGTTAATAATATTATTTGGTTACTCTTATAATCAATTTTGAAAAGTTACAATTCAATCTTATTCTTATACAGGCTAAATGTGAGCAGAGTCTACAATACTAGGTGAGTGACAATATATTGACTTTTTTGTTCTAAAAAAATTGCCAAAATTGGTTGTGTTTGATAGATGGTGTCTTGTTTTTTCATGTCACTATGATATTTGCTAGATGTTATGTTGTGCGATTGACATAGAAAATGGCTATTATGACTTAACATTTGGAAATTAGGTTTAACCATGGGATTTAATGTTCATGGTTATTGGGTTTGCTAAGTCTCTACTGGAAGAAGAAATTGAACCTTTTAAAATTGTGTGTTTTTGGGTATGTTTTGTAAGCAAACAAATGGAGTTTACGTGTCTTTGTGTAATGTTTTATGAGCCAAGAAGAAATGGAATTTAGGTATTATATATTAAACCATAAAAATTTGCTTAAGTGGAGATAACATACTATGACTTAGTGAGATCATGGCTTTCGTGCACATTAACATCAGTTATTGTTGAGAACTACAAAATACCCAACAGTTGGATCATGTAACGAGCCACTGTTGTGTACAAAGAGACTTAACATATAAGATTGTGCAATGAACCACTACACCTGTTCCTATAACATGTAACACTATAAAACACCCATTTATGACAACATACTAATTGTTAATGTATTTTTTAGTAAAGGACAACTACTGAAAAAAAAATATTAACAAAAATTACAATAGTTGGTTGGGGACATCCCACCAATGGAAAGGAATAGACCACCCGGACAAGACACATGTCCCATAAAAAGACAAAGACTACATAGAACAATCAAAAAAGGAGGCCAAAAGAACTTTGATACATAAACTTAACTTTTTGATGCACATGCTCTATGGTGATATCTTCCTTCCAAACATCCCTAACTTCATCGACATTTGGTGAGTACTTCAACTTCACGCTTAGGATTCCGGACCGAACATCATCAATATTTGTCTTGACCATTGCACCGTAATGTCATCTCTTGCTTCTGGAGATCCCGTTGTTTCTTGCCATAGGTGGTAGACGGGACCTACAAGCACTAATCTACAAATAATAGATCAAATGTGATAGGTTTTTCGAGATACTAACACATGGTTATGTGTAACGAAAACATACAACAGTTCTTATATGTTCATGCAACCTATAGAGATCTAAGTTTTATTTTATTATTGCAACTACTAAAAGTAATAATGGAAATTACATACCTTTTTAGAAACTAAAGATATTCTTGTTTTGGATTTAGTTCTTGCCACCTTTGATTAGATGTGAGGATCCAAAGTAGAATCCCTCTAATGGTTCACAATCAATGATACCAAGAGAAAAACAAAAAAAACCCTAGGAGAGGGGAGACTAACTCGAAAATTCTACAAACCATAAAAGGATTAAGAAATTCGTCCACCTTAGGGAGAGGAAGAGAGGGGCCGAATCTTTCTAAGCAATGAATGAACATCTAGGATTTGATCCCCAACTCCTTATTTATAGGCTTCACTTGCTTAATCCTAAAACAACTTCAAAACCCTGAAATGTTCCAATTAATTAAACCTTTAATTATTTTACATTCAACCCCTTTAAATAGTTGATTCTCAATTAATTCCAAAATAGTTTCTAATTAATTTATCTTAGCATGACAAATTAATAAACTAATTTCTTATAAATTCTTTTTGTCTTTTAATTGCTCAAATGGGTCTTTAGGGTAACCTAAAAGCACCCTACTATTATTAGAAATATGACCAATAGTTATGACATTGGACACTCTTTCCAACAGTCTCAACTATACAACATCTAATACTTCTCAAATAATCAACAGAGAGTATGCCATCCAATGCAATTGCCGAACTTTGAGCAAATCAAGATTCAACCCTTAGATAAGTGATCAACTATTCCTTTGTTCTACAAGATATCTTTATGAACCTGAGACATGGATAAGGGTCAATCTCAATGTTCTTGATTATGTTTCGTGATAAAGATTTGTGACGATTACATCATACTACTAAATTGAATACATCAATTTCCGCCAGGGCTCGGCTAAGCATTTTATATGTCAACACCAAATCACTGAGGAGACCATATATATCACATTTTCTATCAAGGAAAAAGTAAAAAAAATAAACTTTGACTACATAATTTTTGTCTACTCACCATGTCATACATAGACATACCCTTTACTACTACCAATAACGAATAACATTGGAGCATACCAATGCACACCATATTTGTAAAACAAAAATCTCATGTATATCTGTTTGAAGAATAAGAGATGTTATCGTCTTAGAATTACTCGTGACTTTATCCATGAGTAGTCTCTAAGTGCAAGTTGTCCAAATACTTAATATCCATTAAGTACTCATGAGCGTTAGTCAAAGTCTCTATGCTATGTCCACTCACTATGAATAATCTACTAAGATTTCATGACAGTCTTATATCATTACTTACTTCGAAGAGTATGACCGCCTATGTAGGTTAGAGTAAATTAATGATCGGGAAGTGGGTTCTAAACATGCAAAACGAAACACAATAATAAATTAACACAAAATGCTAGGAAACCAACTTATAATTAAATTGCCACAAAATAATCACCAATTCAGTTACAAATTATACTGTATAAGTTTGAAAATATCAAACTAACAACTAAACAATTATGCCATATCATATGAAAATCTAATACCTATGGACCTAGTATGATTATCATGCTTGGTCCTCGATAATGGCTTCGTGAAGGGATTAGCCGGATTCTCCCCCGATGATACTTTGTTCACTACAATGTTTCCTTCCTCAACTTGCTTCCGAACGTAGTGGTACTTCCTGAGTAAATGTCTCGACTTCCCACGATCCTTAGTTTATTTAGTCAAAACGACTGCACCCTCGTTATCATAAAAGATTTCAAGGGATTCATTGATGATAGGAACAACACCAAGATCACCAATGAAATTCTTCAACCATGTAGCCTCTTTTGCAGCTTCATTAGCTTCTATATATGTAGACTCACACGTAGAGTCTGCCATTGTCTTCTGCTTGGAACTATTCCAAGTTACCGCTCCTCCATTAATCATGAACACTCATCCTGATTGTGAACAATAATCATCCCTGTTAGTTTGGAAACTTGCATTACTATAACCTATTACTCTTAACTCTTCCTTGCCTCCATATACTAAGAAAATATCTCTTGTTCTTCTTAGATAGTTAAGAATGTTCTTTACTGCTGTCCAATGACTATTGCGAGGGTTGTCATGATAACGAGACTCACCATGCTCAAAGCATACGAGACATCAGGTCGAGTACATTTCATGGCATATATGATTGATCATATAGCAGAAGCATATGAGACTCGACTCATTCTATCTAGTTCTTCAATAGTTTTGGGACAAAGATCTTTACTTAATCTTATGCCATATTGCATGGGTATAAACCCTTTCTTGGAATCTTGCATCTTGAACCCCTTCAAGATCTTATCCAAGTATGTACTTTGGCTAAGTCTAATTAGACGCTTTGATATATCTCTATAGATCCTTATACCACGTATATGTATGTTACATATCCTAGATCCTTCAAAATGAAACATTTACCAAGTGAAGTCTTCACACTTTGCAATGTTGGGATATTGTTTCATATAAGTAGTATGTCATCAACATACAAACTACAATACTCCCACTAGCTTTGACATATACACAAGACTCATCTTTACTTCTAGAAAATCCAAACTCTTTGACCTTTTCATGAAAGAAAAGATTCCAGCTGCGAGATGATTGTTTGAGTCCATAGATGGATCTCTTAATCTTAAACACTCTATTTAGATATTTAGGATCTATGAAACCCTCTAACTATACCATATACACATCCTTTATGATTTTTTCGTTAAGGAAAACGGTTTTCACATCTATTTGCCATACTTCATAATCACAGAAAAGCAACTATGAAAAGTAATATCCTAATAGATTTAATCCTGGCTATTGGGGAGAAGTTTTTCTTATAATCAATCCATTGATTTTGAGTATAACCCTTTGCGACCAGTCTAGCCTTAAACGTGTGTACATTCCCATCCATATCGTTCTTTTTTTTGAAGATGTACTTGCACCTAAACAATTTTAACGCTAGGTGTAGGATCAACCAAATTCCAATCTTGACTAACATACATGGACTGAATCTCACTCTACATGCTCTCTTTCCATTTGCTAGCTTGTGGGCTTGTCATTGCTTCCTTATAGTTAGATGTCTCATGCATACTGACTAGTGAGTCATCACTAATCATCACATCTCCTTCTACAATAATATGAATGCCATAAAAATCAAGAGGAAAATGAACTCTATTGGATCCGCAAAGAGGAAGACGAACTCTATTGCATCCATATCGACACACTACGTCATGTGGATAAGAATGAAACACCCATACTATAATCTTTCCATTGATTGGGAATCAATACTAGCCGTTGGATAAAAAATTTCTCTACAATAAATATCAATCCTCACCCTATCATTCTCTCATCGCTCTCCCATCCCTCTCTCTCTCTCACACACACAGTTTTCCGGTGAAGAAAACCAATGGGCGTCACCTCCGACCATTAGAGCACCGCAAGCCACCGCCTGCTGAACATCATCTTCCGCCCCATCTTCGACGTGGCTACCACCAACGATTAGATTCTAGTGATCTCAACTCATGCATTCCATTTTTTCGGCGAACCTCCGTTGAAGTTCCGACAGAACTCAGACAACTTTTCCGACCACTATTCTCTATTTGGCGAAACACCATTCACTTTCCGTGCGAAAAACAATATTCACTTTCCGACCAGTTTTCTGACGAACTTTTCCGGTGACATTTACCGGGCTTCTCTCCTTAGTCTTTTATAAAACTATGCGAACATCACAGTGAGTTTCACGGCCCCTTTTCTTACGTTTTACACTTACCGGGAGGGGGGATGTATGTTAAATTGTTTATAAATTCATGCTTACAAATTTACGAAATTTTGTTTACAAGCTAATGCTCAATAAATCATATCGAAGAACTAATGATTATGGAATTATGCTGATAAACTCTTGCATTTGTATATGATGCTAAACTTATGTCTAAGAACTTTTATGTACAAGTTTAGGCTTACAAAATTATTGAACTTATCATTCAATGGTTACATGAGACATATTCATTACCTAAGTACAATACTTAAAAGTCCCTTGACTTATAAGCGTTAATTTTCATGAGCGAGAGAATTATGTATAGATTTATACGGGTTGAAAACGCCACCTACGGTTGCTAGCTACAACCTTGATGGTCGATTCAAAATAGGTGATAATTGTCTTTACATATTACGACGTCCAATGAAGCATCAAGAGGGACACGTCTACATAGTCAGATCTCGGTTATAAGGACTCATCGTAACATTGAAAATGTGATTAATTCAC